CAGGCATGCCCACGCCTGGAACTCGGTCCTCAGGCTCCAGCTGGCTCTTCTGCAGAGTCAAGGTTCTCAGACCCCTAGACCCTCCCCGCCAAGACCCCCAGGACCCTGAGCCCCGCCTTCCTACCGGGTTTGGCAGTGAGCTGCAGACAGCACCCAGTATGGGGAGACGAGGGAAGCCCCGCAGTTAAAGCGGCTGCGATCGAAGAGGGCCACTTGCCAAGGCTGGGAGTGGGGCACGCACACCTCGCCCTTCATCACCTTGCCGCTGTTGTCCTGGGCTGCTGGGCGGGCGGGGGTGGGGGTAAGGTGGGGTGTCAGAGTCCTTTTCTTTTCTTTCTTTAAAATATATTTTATATTGATTTTTTACAGAGAGGAAGGGAGAGGGATAGAGAGTTAGAAACATTGATGAGAGAGAAACATCGATCAGCTGCCTCCTGCACATCTCCTATGGGGGATGTGCCCGCAACCAAGGTACATGACCTTGACCGGAATCGAACCTGGGACCCTTCAGTCTGCAGGCCGACACTCTGTCCACTGAGCCAAACCGGTTAGGGCTTCTTTCTTTCTTAAAATATATTTTTTATTGATCTCAGAGAGGGAGAGAGAGAGAAACATCAAAGGTGAGAGAGAATCATGGATGGGCTGCCTCCTGCATGTCCCACACTGAGAACGAAGCCTGCAACCTGGGCATGTGCCCCCTCCGGGAATTGAACCCTGGCCTCCTGGTTCATAGGTCGATGCTCATCCGCTGAGCCAGGCTGGCCGGGCTGTGTCAGGGCTCTTTTCCTTGCACCCTGCCTGAGCTCGCTATGTATTTTTCACCTGTTCCTCCCCCAAACATTGTATTGATTTTTAGGCACTGCCCTCTCTCCAGCTTTTACAACTTTTTGCTTATATTCCCCACAACTGTGCCCCTGTCCCTGGCCCCCACCCATTTGCCAAAGGGGATCTGGGAGGGAGGGGACAGGGAAGGGACCAGAGGAGGAGAAGTGTTCTGTCATTGGGAGCAGAGACAAGGACAGTGGGTACCGCGCAGGCAGATGGCCACTTGGAACCAGCCATTCAAGGTCACTGAGCTGTCACAGGCATCACATGGATGTGGCCACTCAATACGTATGACACACAGTCTTGGCTCCGGAGCCTGGGCACCTCGGCCAAATGCAGTGTGTCCAACGTACAAGGACACAGGCAAGACCGCACAAGGTCATGGGCAAGGGGGCGGGCACCACGGGTCTTCCCCACGTCGGCACTGATATGGGCAGCGCTTGAAGCTGAAACTCACTTGCACCTACATGAGCTGCAGCTTCAGGAATCACAGCAGAGACTTTACAGGGCCCCGCGGGTTAGCTCAGTGGATAGAGCATCGGTTGTCAGACTAACGGTGTTTGGGTTTCATTCTGGTCAAGGGCACGTACCTCGGTTGCAGACTCGAAAAATCAATGGAGCCCTGGCTGGTTTGGCTCAGTGGATAGTGCGTTGGCCTGCGGACTGAAGGGTCCCGGGTTCGGTTCTGGCCAAGGGCACCTGCCTGGACTGTGGGCTTGATCCCCAGTGGAGGGGGGGCGGGGGCGTGTGAGAGGCGGCTGATTGGTGATTCTCTCTCATCATGGATGTTTCTATCTGTCTCTCCCTCTCCCTTCCTCTCTGAAATCAATAAAAATATATTTTAAAAAAATCAATGGAAAAATGTCCTCGGGTGAGGATTAACAACCACAATAAAATAATAATAAATAAATCTTAAAAAAAAAATTCACAGCACAGGGGTTGATATGTGTGTAGGAATGTAGACAGTTAAGATATGGGTGTGTGTGCCAGCATGCACACAACACAAACACACAGACACAGATACACACACACACACACAGACACAGATACACACACTCACAGACACACACAGACACAGATACACACACTCACAGACACACACACACACTCACAGATACACTCACATACTCGCAGACAGGCTTGCAAACAGAAGACGCAGCGTGGGTCCGCACACACTAGGTCACAGGTGCTCACACTTGCACATGGGGGTCTGGACAGACAAGGTGGGTCTTTAATAAAGGTACATGTGGAGCCCTAACCGGTGTGGCTCAGTGGATAGAGCGTCTGCCTGCGGACTGAAGGGTCCCAGGTCCGATTCTGGTCAAGGGCCTGTACCTGGGTTGCGGCCACATTCCCAATAGGGAGTATGCAAGAGGCGCTGATCGATGTTTCTCTCTCATCGATGTTTCTAACTCTCTGTCCCTCTCCCTCTCCCTCTCTCTCTGTAAAAAATCAATAAAAAATATATATATTTAAAAAGGTACATGTGGAGAGACACTGACCCCCCCCAGAACTTGTTCACAGGCATGGGTCTGTAGTATGGTGGTTAAATTTGGAGGGATAGAGTTATACTCCCTCAACCCCTGCCCCGCATCCAAACATATTATTTGTGAGTCTCTGAGCAAATTATTTGACCTCTCTGTGCCTCTGTTTCCTCATCAGTAAGATGGGATTGTTGTAAGGATGGGATAGGTGTGTGTGTGCGATGCCTGACATACGGTGACAGCTTAATAAATGTTAGTTATTTTAAACAAAGGACTCATAGATTTATTGATGCAGACAGAACGTGTGCATGTCCAGGCTGTGGACACAAACTTAAGCCAAAGTCAGTCAGATGTATGGCCAGGCCCAGATCCAGATAGTCCAGGTCAAAACTGTGACTCAGGCCCAAGCCACTCTGTGGAGACCCAAAGGGCCATGTCTGGATGCAGGGTCTGGCCCTTCAAGGTCAAGGACATATGTTTCGCTGGAGACATATTTATCCATCTCTAGATCAGTCTCCAAGCCAGTTGCTTGGTGTTCAAGTTGAACCTGAACCAAGAAAAAGTCCTGGATGTACAAGAAGGAGCTGTGGGGGACTGGGGGCTGGGGGCTGGGGGAGAGCGTCACTCATCACATGTGTGGGTACCTGGCTCACACATATATGAGCAGGATCGTGCACTCCCCCTCCCTCCAACAGCACCACGCACAAGGACACCCACAGAGATGTTTCAAGGTCACAGGACCTCGACTCCCTACACTGGGCCACATGCATATGTCCCCTCAAGGTCACAGCCAGGCACACAATGCCACCCACCCTGGGGCAGGATATCACCGCCAAGATCAAATGCCCATGCCCTTGGCTTGGGGGGTTGGGAGCTGGGCCAAGAGCCCTGGCAAAGGCAGGGAGAACTGGGATGAGGTGGACAAGGGACTTAACAAGGGAAGAGTGGGTTGTCCTTCGGAGAAGGGCAGAGGGTGCCAGCTGAACAGCTGGACACCGAGGCCGCACCTGGCCAGTCCCAGCCGGAGGAGGGTGGGGGTGGGGGGCCGCAGGGCGCAGCAGGCAGGCCGGGAGGCGGGGAGGAGAGAGCACGGACAGAGCCGAAGGGGAAGGAGGGGAGGTTGGAGGCCCTCCCTGGGGCGGAGAGGGTCATGTGTGTGAGAGAGTTCATGAAAGTCCACCCTGGACTCCCCCAGGGTAGAGGCATCAGGTTACAGTTACCTTCTTCCTGGGTGGTAGGTGAGTGTGGGCAGGAGTGCTCCTGCCACCTGGGGTCACCTTGACCTGGTGGCTGCCCCTCTCTGAGTCACAGGCCCCTCTTCTGCCAAAGGAGGCCCGGGGCCCACCCCACGGGGATGCTGCCTGGATCGGGTGACCCACCCTAGCGCCGAGCGCCGCGCCTGGCAAGTACTGAGCGCCCAGCAAGGCCAGCGCATTCTTACAGGGCCCTCCTGGCGCCTCCCACCTCTGTCGCTCTCTCCAGGGGACGGTGGGGGAACCTGTCACAGGCATTGAGTGACCAGAAAGGGGCAGGGTCAAGAGAGAGGCAGCCCCCAGAACTGAAACCCGGGCCTGTGCCACCCCAGGGTGGCTGTGTCTGTTGTGATGGGTCCCACGTGGCATGGGGACTGCACGGCAGCCCCCCTTCCCCCTCCCCCCAACACGCCTGACAGCTGTCATGATGGAGTGAGGACTCAAAAGATACCGGCTGGTGGCCAGGGTGGGGCAGGGGTGAGGGAGGAAGCCAGTCGCCAGTTGGTTTCTGGGTACGGGAGGGGCTGGCAGATTGCAGGGCCTGGATATGCTCAGGATGGGGGAGTGTAGGGAGCACCCCACTTCCCACCGACGGGTCCCCCCCTGGGCTGCAGCGGCGCGGAGGAGGGACCGGGGCTCTGCTGAAGTCTGGGGGAGAGGAGAGAGTGAACGGGGTGAGGCTGGCTCCTCCTGCCCCCATCGCGACCCCTCCGGACACAGACGTATCCTGCCTGCTGCTTCAGACACTTCTTCTCACCCCCTGCCCCAGCCCCAGGCCCAGCCTGCTCTTCCTCCCAGGAATCCTGTCTGCAATGGGTCTGCCATTCCTCCAGGCACTGGAGTAGACTCCCAGGTGCCCGCCTGGCCTGGCAGAGCCCAGCACCGTTCTACCTGCCCCCAGACCGGTGATGGCGAGCCTATGACACGCGTGTCAGAGGGGACCCGCGAACTCATTTCTTTGGTTGATTTTTCTTTGTTAAATGGCATTTCAATATATAAAATAAATATCAAAAATATATGTCTTTGTTTTACAATGGTTGCAAAGATCAAAAAATTTTCTCTATGTGACCCGGCACCAGAGTTAAGTTAGGGTTTTTCAAAATGCTGACACGCCGAGCTCAAAAGGTTCGCCATCACTGGCCTCGACCTGTCTCCATCTCCAACGTCCTGGCTCAGGAAACATTCTCTCCCCAGACCCTATGCCAGGTTCCTAACCCGCCTCTTGGGTCTTCTGCACCCTCCTTGAGTCGGTTCCTCCACTCAAGTTCCTGCAGGGTCTTTCTACACCTGGCGTTGACCACGTCCGATTGGTGCTCACAGCTCGCATGAACCTCACTGCGCCCAGGACAAAGTCCCAGCCCCCCACTTCCCCCACCTCACTTTCGAGGCCGGGATGGCTTCTCCCCTTCCGGCCTTGCTGGCTGGGTCTCCCATGACATAACGTTCTAGACACAGTGGATTCTTCCGGTTTCCCTCCTGCAATTTCATGCCTCCACGCCTCTGCTTGGGCTGTTCCTCCTTCCAGCTATGCCGTTCCCTTCAAGGTCCGCTGCCTCCTGGAGGCCTTTTCTGAGCTCTCCCAGGCCGTGGTGTCTGCCTCCCCCGCCAGACAGAACTCCCTGGGGGAGAGGGGGGTCCCCAGCACTGCCCGGCAGCCTCCCCAATTCCTCCTCCAAACTTATATTTCTCCCTGAGGCTCTGCCCCCACATCTGGGAGGCTTTGATTCCAACAGGTATCTCTCCTGGGTCCCACGGTGTCTGTTCTGCCTCCCTCACAGCACAGATCCCCAGGGGTGCTCAGGTTGGGTTCTCTCCGCGTCCCCTGCCCTGCCCAGCCTGGGGCCTGGCACTGGACGCACCTCAGGGAGTTGGGCTGCGCTGGCTTGAACCCGTGACAACTCCTGACCCTGTTCTTGGCTTTGGTACAAGTGCTTTCAGGGACATCCTCCAGAGTCACCCCAGCCCCCTCCCTGCATCCCCATCTCCATCCTCCCTGC